TGTTTATATGTGTACATATTTACAAATATATTAAATTTCCCATACAATGAATGTTACTTCTCTTTCCCTTTAAAGATATAACACAAATAGAACAAGATGTCAAGTGAAAGCACATAGCATTCAAAACATGTCATATATGCCAAGCAAATCTGAAAAGAATTGAAATGAAGGTGTGTAATAATATATCTCAATGGGCAACTTTCAGAATAATCACAGAAATAAAACAAAAAAGAGAAACTGTTTTATGCTAAAAATAATACTGTAATTGTGTTAATTTCGAAAAGCTTCCTTGCTAACCCTAACAGGAAGTGAAGTAATAATTTTAAGAATTATAGAATGTTAACTGAATTTGTTGTAGAAATTATTTCACAATAATTATAATTAAATATTAATTGTTAATTATAATATAACAATATACCTAAGGAATTAGTAAGAAATATGGCTGAAAAAACATGTGGTTTTTGAGATCTCCTTAGGAGTAAAACATTTATTACACAAGCACTAAGATTGCCAGATGTTCTAGACCAGCTCTGGAAGTAATTCTGAAAATATATGTAGTTCAAACTTGAATTTAAAAACATAAGCAGATGCTGTTTTATGGAACTTACCAAATAGTATTTTTAAAATCTCTTTTGTATCATTAACTCTCTTTTAAATGGTCTCTAAGATCTGTTTCAGAGATCTTATTAAAAAAGTACAATTGTCATATGAATTTTTTTTTAAGTTTACTTATTTATTTTGAGAGAGGGAGAAAGAGAGAATACCAAGCAGGCTCCACATTGTCAGCGTGAAGCCTGATGTGGGGCTTGAACTCACAAAGCCTGAGATCATGACCTGAATCAAAGTCAGACACTTAACCCAATGAACCACCCAGGTGCCCTATCATATAAAATTTCTCAGGAGTAAGAAGAACAGTGTAAACCCTAAGAAAACTTGCTACTTCTCCTTTAAAAGAAACTTGATTATTATCTGCAAGGGCTAAACTTAGTGAGTTTTTTGCTGCTTCAAAATGTGTGATCGAACTCCATTCCTTCATTCATTGTGTAGAATTATATCGCAATGACTACACTTGGGCCTATAATAGAAATAAAGGTCCTTTGATTGTGGTATAAAATGTAAAACACACACTTCAACTTAGTATGTCAGGAAAATGACTAACCTTATGAAGTTATTTTCCAGTACATTTTGGCTCAAAGTATTAATAGTTGGTATTGAATAAGAAAAATAATCAACTTACATATTCATTAGAGATGTGATGATAGTTTAATAAACATACTACATTCTATTGGTCACAGTCTCCAGTTTTTGAAAAGCTTTAACTTCATCTAACTTTATTGAACAGTCAGACATACATCTGAAATGCTTGTTACAAAATTAACTGTTTTCTCTTCTAAAACTATTTCCTTTTTCTCTGAAGCTCTTCTTATTACCATCTCTACCATTCTTTTACTCTCATTTCCTCTGGAAGGGAATGGGCTGGTCCTCACTTATCATTAGGCTTTGGAAAGTTTGTGGAATCCTTTATTCAGTGCTAGTTAATACAGACCAAGTCCCCACTTAACAGGGTTGAGAGTCTCCAGCTGGAACTGAGAAAGCTCACTTCAGCTTCCTCCCCCCAGGACGAAAGGGTTACAGATCTACAGCTACACTGCAGTTGTAAAGTCTGTGCTAAGAAAGAGTTCAAATTATGTATAGATAAGAATTAAAAGTAACTTAAGATGTGAGATTTGAACCAACAAAATTCTCTTTCCTCTGTAAATTTAACCATTCCAGATATGTCCTAGATAGCGTTTATTTTTTCCTAAGAAAAACTGCTTCCATCATCAATCTTCTCCTCTTCCTAATTTTCAAACTCCCTCAACAAAGTACTTTTCTTTTACCTTTATGCATTTCATGGAGAGTCCTTTGTTCTATCTGTTGAATTCGCCCCCCGCCAAAGTTGAACTTAACATCTTTATTTTTCTCCGTGTTTTCTCCCCTACTATATTTAATAATTCATTTTTCCTTATCCTAGCATCTATTCTTAACATTTTCCAATCTGTACTGTCAATCGCACCTATCCTGAGCTTCTTTCTCTACTTCTTCCTGCATTGCTGCCCACATCCTAATCTTTTCCATTGTGAATTCTGAAGCCTGATTCCTTTTATTAAATCTTATGCATTCTTAGCCTCATCACAGAATGTTCATCTCATCTGTTAGCCTGAATGGAAAGCTGACCCTTCAGTAAGAATACTACCTGTTTGAGGAGAAACTGCTCAAAGTCCTATACTCTAAAAGTAATAGGGAATCCTGGAAGAGGTATTGGCATTTTTCTATGTCTGCATTGCTGCTTCCCCATGTTTACTTTTCTAATTTCTTGGAAAATCTATCCCTTTTATGTTCATACCATTATACTTCCTTGATGTTACTACTTTCCAGAAAAATTCCTTCATCCATTTTCTGTCACACTTAGGCTATCAGTGACTCTTCAATGCCTATATAAAAATTCTAACATCAAAGTTTGTTGCTTTCCTTTCCTTTCCAAACTGTAGTCCACACTCCACTTCAGATATTCACCCCCAGGATCAAACCCTGTATCTTTCTAGTATCTGGAATTGTCTAACATAAAGAAAGTTTTAAGCATCACTAAATCATTCTCTGAAAATAACATTCTCCATTGCCTCCATTAGCCTTGAATATTTCTACAAATTCCAGTTCTTTCATTAAAGCCCTTCTTTCCCAGCTCATAGAAAACTCTGCATCTGAATGTGATTTAACAGGACTGCATCATTTCACATGACTAGCGTCTTCCCTAATCTATCTTAGACATCACTTTAAACACTTTCCTTGCAGGCCACCCTCAACATCCTCATCCTCTTTTTTCTTTCTCCTATAACTGCCCATAAACTTTCAGCAATTTATCTGAAGTGTGCTAATGAATCAATGTCACAATCTTAAAGACCATCACAAATTTAAATTCTTCACTTAAACTATCATCCTTCTACATATCTTCGGTGAGCTTTCTCTTGTAACCTCCATGTAGCTACTCTTCATTTTAATTTCCCCAAGTCATTATTAGGAAGCCTAGTCTACATTCACCGCCCCCCCCCCCTTTGTGTTTCTTTTAGATCTCATTTTCCTTCTTTCCATTTAGCTCTCACAACATGACTAAAACCATTTACACAAACATTGTTATTGGTTAGTTTATCATTTAACAATATTTGTCCTTCTCTTGAATTTTTCTGATGAGTATACCATGCTTGAAATACTTTCCTTTCTTGATTTCTGTTCTTTTCTGGATATCCTACTGTCTTCCAATGGTTCTTTTCATCATGGTTTCCTGGCTCTGTTCTTTCATCTACTCCTTAAATGTAAGTAAATGCTGCTAATCTCAGAATTTTGATTCTTGGCTCTCTCCTTATTCTTCATATGCTTCTGGCAATTCCCCTCATTCCAATGGAATCAGTTAAATGCTGATACCTTATTCCACGTCTCTAGCCCAGACTTCTCTGCTAAGTTCCAGACCCATACATTCAGTCACTTCTATTCGATGTTTATACCTGAATATTCCAAAGGAATGTCAAACTCAAATCATCCTCAAACTGAATTATTAATTTTTCCCTAAAACTTATCCAACCTATATTCCCTGTCTTGATATAATGTGCTCCCATATACCCATACATTCCAGTGACCTGGAATTATTCCTCCTTTTCTTGCAACAAATAATATCCAACCAATGAGTAAGTGCTACAGATTCCACATCTATACTTTCTCTACTGACACCTGAAGTCAGCTCATCTTCATCTCTTCAGTGATCTGTGCAACAGCCTCATAAATGATCTTACTGCCTATAGTGCTCTAGTCCATTTTTTTCATAGCTTCCAAAGTAATCTTTCCAGAACAAAAAATATTCGATCTTATTCCTCCTCCTGTTTTATGTGCTTCAATATCCTACATGTTCCTACTTTTGCCTAAATTTGTTTGAAGTCATTTTTCCCATAATGTTTCCACAGCCTGAAATGTTCTCTATGCACGAGGGCGACATCTTTCTAGTTTCTAATATTCACGTAATGTGTTATCTCTTCTATGAAGTCTTTCTTGAACCAATATCCATACTTTCCAGGAGGAAATGATCATACCGTCCTTTGTGGTCCCACTGTATTCGATACATAGAGACTTCTCATAGTACCTATCGTATTACGGCATTTACTTGTCAGAGTCACTCTACAAAAAGCCTGCAAGGATAGGGAGCTACTTTGTGTGTCCTGTTATTTCCAGCACCTAGAACAGTACCACACCCTGTGTTTAATAAACGAGTGTTGAATGAATGCTTGAGCTTTAGTTCGTTACTTTTCCCATGAAGCCTTTGCTGGCCATCTAGTTGAAACAGATTTTATTTGACTTTATAGCTTTGCAGAACATATTGTTAGAATCATCCATATTGGCACATAAACACAGCATGTTATCCACATATTTTAACTCCTCAGTGATACTGATAGCACGTGGAGGACATGTATTAGATCTTTAGTGTTCTCCACAGTCTAGCACATTGCAGAACTCGTGATAAAAATAAAATCCTTTTAGAAATATGTAAAATAAAGTTGAAAACAAGGTTTAAATCTAAAATAAAGTTGAAAACAAGGTTTAAATCTAAAATAAGGTGAGGGATAAAATATCATTAACTTGTTAATTTAATCTCAATGATTGAATGCTGTATGTCTGTATGTATACACATATATACATAGACTCAGATCTGGAGTTAGTTACTGAGTTATGGAAAAATACATATATACACATATCACGTAAAAACTTATCAATTTATTTTTATCAATCTAAATGGAGCGGTTGCTGCTAAAAGTCGAATATACCACTACCTAAAATAAAAATGCCTGCAAGATTTAACATTTTGTTATATTAGAGGAAAATGAAAAATTATGAAATGAATAAAAAATAGTAAAAATCTTCTAAAGCAAGTTAGATACATGAAAAAATAACAAAGAAAAGCAGTAGAAGAGACAGACCTGCATGTCTTCTCCTTGTGGAGTCCACTTCTTCTGTGATCACATCGTGTAATGGACAGACATAGACAAAGGAGATGGGTGTGAGTGGATGTACTCAAAAGGTAAAAAGTGACACTGAAGGAAAGGGCCCCAAATCATTTGGAGAAAGAATCCTGTGCACAGTTGTAGGGAAGATATAATAAAATACGTACCATATTAAAAAAAATAAAAAATAATACAGAAGAATTGATGGTGAATTGGTTAAGCTATTATGGGTTAGCAGAATCAGAAAAATAAAGTTAGTGTAGAAATAAAGAGGATTCAAAGGTTTACAGTTATTTATAGACAGCCCCAATCCTGAACACTGATGCTGAAGAAAGATACCATTAGTAAAAACAATGTCACTTGTATAACCATATTGTTCACGACATTCCTGAGTCCACTTAAAATCTGTGAAAACGCTTTTAGGATTTCTAATGATCACTTAAAGAAAATAACTTAATTGAATCAACCTTAAAACGAACAACAAAAATAGTTCCAACAGATTTCTACGCCTTTCAAGTTTCCCAAATTGATGAGTCACACATGAAAATAAAGTAGAACTGTCAGGCCAATATTCCACAGAATTACTTCAGTACAGCAAAATATCATAAAAGATACTATGGAGAGTATCAAGCATAAAGCTCATTATAAAAGTGTAGCTGAAAGATATGGCTTTACTTAAATATTAAAAATTGCAAATAACCTTTAGACAAACTATTTGATCATATTCCCTTAGAATACCTATTTATTCAGAAAATTCTTACACACACCACATAATACATCATTGACAGCTCTATTTAAATTTGCCCATCAAAATCCAATATCTACCATGATAGTTATGGCACACATTTTGGAAATACTTCCTTCTCCACTACTATAGGAGTTTACAAGACATGTGTATTATGCAGTGATTGAGAGCAGGAAATATCTGCTGAACTCAGCATTCTAGGAAAAAATTTCTTCCAAAGTTATTAGTGAGTTAGTATTAGTATGATTGACACAGATAAATGCTATAATACAAACCAAAATCTATTTAATTACATTCTTAGTTTTGAATCAGGTACCACAAATTCTTAAATCAAAACACCACATTCATTTCTGCAATAGTTATATCATAGTTTTTGAGTGATTTTTGAAAAGCATATTATATCAAAATACACTTGGCATGTTGACATATTGAAATTATAACTCATAAGAAGATTCTTTCCTATAACAGATTTCTCTCTTTGTCTGGAGAGAGAGAAAATGAAAACTTTCCACTAAGAAAAGATGGCTCAGATGACCAAAACTTGTTTTCTTAGAAAAAAGAGAAATCCTAGTATGAATTATAAAGAAGTGAAAAAGAATGACATATTTTGAAATTTAGTAATGTCATTTTTATTATTATTTGAGTACATCTTTGATTTATTCAAAACTGGGCACTAAATCTCATGATCATTACATTACAAACCATACTATATTGATAGGATTAACCACTAAGAAAAGTACTATCCTCCTAAAATGTACTCTAATACAGTAATATGATATATGCCATATTTTGCTTTCCATACCCAGTCTACCCACTTCTCAGAGACAAAAATACCAGATATATTAATAACATAGATTAATTCTGAATTGTATTATATCTTGTATTATTTCTCATATGCAAAATTTCTCTGTATACATGTTTACCATACTATTAAACAATTTCCTTGCATGGCAGAATGAAATTGATATGACTTGGATGAAATGACTGTGTAGGTGTATTCTTTCTCTAAGAAAAAAATATATTTTTTGCAGAAAACATAAAAAACAACATAAATAAACAAAGCTCTTATCCTACCTAGCATTTTACTGTATCTTGAATTTCTTTATAATGGCACTGAGGCAATGTTCTTCATGTTATATGGATTCAAAACATTCAACCTTATTCTCAACTAATTCATTCATTAATTATAGAGAGTAACTGAGGCACACAGAGTTCAAATGACTTACCCAAGGTCACACAACAAGTTCAGTGGCAGAACCATAAACAGAACAGAGGTCTCTGATTACCAGGTCACTTTTCTTTCTACTAGATGCTATATGACCCAATAAAAACATGTGAATGAAAAGTCAAGCAAGGAAAAAACAAAAAATCCCCTCATGGTGGCACCTGATCTGAACATTTTATTATATAGTATTTAATTAGAATATTTTGTAAAAAGGTACATGCTATATTTATACGAGTAGTTCACTAATGCCTTTACCCATATCAGGAATATGGCAACACTTAGCACCATTAATTTAATTTACAAAAATACAAAATTCACATTACATAAAAGGATGAAAATGAAAGATCTGACAATGATTTCGCTACTACCTGAAAGTGCCCATTTAATCACTTTTCCATCATTTATATGAATATGATCCATTAATAAATAGGTCATAAGCATTCTTATATTAAAAATTCACTTAATTTTAATTAGACAGAACATTCATTTATATCGTAAAATCTCAAAGTATAATTTACAGTTGCACCAAATATATCTTAAGATTTTTTGACTTTCTTGTCTTCCTTGTTATTACAATTTGTATTATATATGATTTGTATTAAAACAGCCTCATTTTAAAAGAGAAACTTATAGTTCAACCTTATCATTTAAGCAGCCATGACTTATTTAAATGGTAATAAACTATAAATACTTATTTCACATATACTATTAATGAATTGTAGACTTCAGTAAATCTTGAAGAAGCTGGGTACTGCTCCACAGCTCCTATCTCCCTACTTTTTCTTTGATCATTACTATAGCATAAGCATTCTACTCTTAGGTGCCATTTTAATGGCAGTTGTCAGGAGAGCCCTTACTAATGCTTTCTTTTACCAATAACCAGTTAGATAGTAAGAAGTTAAGGATAGTAAAAATATACCCCCTCTGTGTATACATTACTGTCATAACTATGGCTGATTCATAGCTTTAGACTTACAAAATATAAAGACTTTTTGTAGAGAGAATGTACATTATTTTTTTTTTTTGGTTCATTTCATCAACAAAGAAGCCAACAAAGAAGAAATAAAATATTTTCATGCATTATATTGAAACAGACATTTGATAATATAATGAATATTTCATAAGCCCCGTAAAGCCATTTCTTCACTTAAGGTAAATTATTTATGAAAAATATTTTTAAATGTAGGTGCATCCAAGTGCAAACTGGAAAAAGAATGGGATTTTAATCAAGCAAAGTAATACAATATCTCTCTCTCTATTTATCTATCTACATACCTACTAAAGCTGTCTGTATTTTGGTTCTGTAAATTTAAAAATATCTACTAAAGATAAATAGATATATAAAATAATTACTTTCATTAATTTATTTGGAAAAAAAATTAAGTTCATAAGAATGAATATGATGTCACATTTTATGCAAAATTTTGTGCAAACCAAAAATTTCCCCCTAATATAATGTATCAACTTTTATTATATTTTGATTTAATAATCTCGTTAAAAGAGAAATAATCATCTGTAATCACCTTAATTTTAAAAACATATATACGTGGGGCCTGTTTATACATAAATGCAGTTTTTACCCAGGGTGTGCTTTGTTGATGGCTAATGTCCTCATTTATTACCATTTACAACAGATATAATGTTAGTCATATTATTAGATGTAATTGTACTTGAGTAAACATATGTCCTTCAGGAGTAAGCGTTCTGTTAAAAAGATTACTGACAGTGAAACAGAAGCCTCAAAATTTTAAGAGCATACTAGAACTTTCACATAATTAAAAGCTAATCAGTTATGAGGGCTTTTTAAAAAAGTCATAGTGTCTTAGAAGGTCACTTTGAGGTCAGGAGAGATACCTTTCAAAATGAAGCCTAAATAAACAACTACTTAGTAGGTAAGCCTCAATGACACAAAGACTGGGATGGATCTAGAATATAAAAACAAAATGTTTACCAAGTTTACTGATTTCAAACTAAAACTTCCCCACTGTGACAAAATCTTGTTGAAAAATTGCTCAACCAAGAGATTTGAGCTTATTTTTTAAACTAATTATGACTTTCATAATTTTGTTAACAACCATAAAATTATTGAACACTTATAATAATTTCTACCTATTAAAATAAGAAAGGTATAATATTTTAAAAATATTTTGCTATTTGTAAAAGCTCACTAATAAAAATGTTTATCTTTTAAATGTCTTCTTTCTCATTCCTAGCTGCACTGTTTTTTTCTGATTCTGTCCTTGAGGTCTGACACATAATGCAGCTTTAAATACAGAAGAAAAATATACCCAGAGTATGTGTTGAGGAAGCTTAAAATAATTAACTTTCAAACTACATCACACTATCATTAAAAAGACAGTCATCGAATTACAACTTGGCCTTAAATGTTTATCTTTATGTTCAGAGGAAACTGATCCAAGCTTAAATTAGCAACTAAACTCATAAACCATGAAATTTCATTTTATTGATAAGAAAACATAATCATTAAAAAAGAATGCTATGTTTACATCTGAAGGCATCCTTAGTATTTAATTCTGAATTTCCATCAGTTGATGTGTGTTGTATAAAATATTTACTTTGTTTTATATTACATTTTTTCTACCAAAAGTAAAATATATTCATTCTACAACACTCCAGAAATTACAAGCTTCAAATACTGCCCCAAAACACAACCTTGATTCTCTTTTCCAGATGAGATGCATCTAACTAGAAGACTAATTTAGATTATTGATTTAGATAGAAATACATTGTTTCTACCTTTAAGAAATGTTAAAATATTCAAAAATAAGAGAAAGCAAAAGTCCATAACATCAAAATCCTCAAATATGTCAAGTATTAAATTCACTAACAAAATACAACTCTGAATATTTACTTTTTCTTAAGATAAATTTTATAGAGCATAATTACAAAGGTAGAGGTAAGAAAAAAATCCCTACCTTCACCACAGTTACAGATCCATAAAGAATACAATATGGAAATGTTCATGTTGGAAAAAATTAAAGGTTAATACATTAATCAGATAAGGTTAAAACTAAGGGT